CACATGAATAGTAATGACACTTCTGACATCATTGCTTACAACTAGTGAAATCTGTGAATGATCACCGAGGTCACAAGGTACAGGGCCATTCACAACAGCCTTGTACCATGTGACCAATCACAGCTCACACAGTATTTCTCAATGGCTGCAGGAATGCAGCGAGAGAGGAGAAATGATTGCTTTTACAGCCTTTATGGGTGTAAAAGCAATCATTATAAAAATAAAAAAAATCTTCATCACCCCCCACAAGTAGTACAGTGTCACTATGGTGACAATGTACTGCTAGGGTGACAGTAGGTTAAAAAAAATACAAAAAAAACTATGATATAAAAAAATAAAAATGTAAAAACATTTTTTTTAAATTATAATTTTTGGTTATAAACTAATTTGGGTTACTATATTTTTTTACTAAAAAGATGAATACATTTTGGCCAAGATTTATGAAGAAAGGTTATTTATTAGCAAAATTTTATAAGAAAAACACTTTTTTTTTTTCAAAATGTGTGGACTTTTTCATTTATATAGCAAAACAAAATAAAAATCCCAGTGGTTAAAAAATACCACCAAAATAAAGTTTTATCTGTCTCCAAAATATCATATGGGTACAGTGTTGCATGACCGCGCAATTTGCATTCAAAGTGTGATAGCGCTGAAAGCTGAAAATTGGCCTGGACAGGAAGGGGGTGAAAGTGTCCGGACTGGAAGGGGTTAAAGAGAACCTGTCAAAGAACATACATCACAGATACTTTGTTTAAAATATTATGCGACACTATGGGATTCAGCTTTTCACACTCCCCCTCTCCCTCCAGTACATTTCTTGGCAGGGAATTCTGAGGCCCGCCTCCCATTGACATGCGGATGCATGATGATGATTGGTCTGTGAGGAGTCAGAGAAACTCCTTGAGGGGTGGATAGAAACCTGGAGGAGGGGGCGTTCGAGGCTGGCTGCATTTGGGTGCGCAATGCCCTAAATAACCCCTTGCCCTCCAGAGGATCCCCCTCCTGACCAGGCCATTTTTTGTCATACGGCGCTGCGTTACTTTAACTGACAATTGTGCGGTCATGCAACGCTGCACCCAAATGAAATTTATGTTCTTTTTTTCCCACCAAGAGAGTATTCTTTCGGTGGTATTTGATCGCCTCTGCGGTTTTTAAATTTTTTGCGCTATAAAAAAAAAAGACCGACAATTTTGAAAAAAAAAACTATATTTTGGACTTTTTGCTATTAACCTCTTGCCGTCAGCCTGCTGTTTATAAACGGCAGGGCGGTGGCAGTCCAGGGGCGGGTTGCCGTTCATAAACGGAACCCGCCTTTTCTAGCTGTGCGCGCTCCCTGGGAGCGCGCACCACCGCGTTCCGGTGCCTGCTGTGTCCTCCGGACACAGTGAAACACCGATCGTCGGACGGGACCTCTGTACGAGGTCCCGATCATGTGATCACTGATTGGCGAATCAGTGATCACATGCAAAGTAGTAAGCAAGATGTCACTTGTGACATCATTGCTTACTATGTGTGAAATCTGTGAATGATCACAGAGGTCACATGGTACAAGGCTATTCACAACAGCCTTGTACCATGTGACAAGCTGTGACCACTCACAGTTCACTCAGTAATTCTCAATGACTGCAAGAATGCAGACAGAGAGAAAGAGAAATGATTGCTTTTACATTCTATATGGGTGTAAAAGCAATCAGTGTAAAAAAAAAAAAAAAAAAAAAATCTTCATCACCCCCCACAAGTAGCACAGTGTCTCCATGGTGACACTGTACTGCTAGGGTGACAGTATGTAAAAAAAAAAAATAATATAAAAAAATAAAAATGTAAAAAAAATGTTTAAGATTATAATTTTCGGTTATAAACTAATTTGGATTTTTTTTTTTTTTACTAAACAAATAACGGAAAAAATTTTGGCCAAGATTTATGATGAAATATTATTTATTTGCAAAATTTTATTAAAAAAAAACACTTTCTTTCAAAATTTTTGGACTTTTTCATTTACATAGTAAAAAAAAATAAAAATCCCAGCCGTAAATAAATACCACCAAAATCAAGCTTTATCTGTCTCAAAAAAATTCATGTGGGTACAGTATTGCATGACCGCGCAATTGTCATTCAAAGTGTGATAGCGCTGAAAGCTAAAAATTGCCCTGGACAGGAAGGGGGTAAAAGTGTCCGGACAAGAAGTGGTTAAATTTATTTAAACATTTAAAAAAAATCAAATTTCGTCCAATGTATTCCGCTCCGTGTCGTTGCTAACAAAAAAAATCCCAATACGTGTAAATTAATTGGTTTACGTGAAAGTTATAGCATTTACAAATGGCTGTGTATATACTGGGATTTTTGTTTTTATTTTTTTTTTATACTAGTAATGGCATCGATTAGCGACTTATAGCGGGACTGCGGCGGGTATTCTGACACGGGGGGGGGAAACTGACTTGGTGTCACTGACATCCCCAGTGACACCAATACAGTGATCAGTGCTAATAAAAAGCACTGACACTGTACTACTGGCACTGGGCAGGAAGGGGTTAACATCTGGGGGGATCAAAGGGTTAACTGTGCGCTGTGTGTGTTTTATTATGTAAGCACGCTGATATGCAGAGCCATACACTGCAGCATACTGGTCCTGATGGGAGAGACCTGCATTGTTTACATTTAGATCTTTCCCCCGTCAGTGATACTCAGTGATCTCCGGGTGCCAGTGGGTAATACTGGCGAGGACCAGGTGATTGACAGCTGTAGCCACCAATGGCGGTGCGGATAGAGCAGCATGTGCGCTCCCTAAAGTCACATATATATACACGTGATTTTGCACAGCCCTGCCGCTCTGTAGCAGTAGTTCTGTTAAAGGGCGGCGGGGAAGCAGTAAATGCCCCCATGTGATGCTGAGCCTTCATGATTGAAAGAACTGAAATCCAATAAATGAAAGTGGCGGGCCAGAGACAGACTAGGGAGGAAAGCGCTAGATGATGCTGGACGTCTTTCAGCCAGGAAATGAGGCGGAGCTCTATCTGACTGTTTGCAGGTTTTAAAGCACATTGTGAGAAGAAGCGTTTGCAGTGACATCAGAGAAAGCCATTTCAGTTGAGGAGAGGAGCCAGTATACCTGTGCAAG